ATCGGATCTCTCGCTCGTGAACGGCGACCGATCCGACAATCTTCTTTTTTCCCGCGAACGGAGACGCGCGATAGACCGACCGTCTTCGCGATGCGAACGAGCGAGCCGCGCGTTTATCCGCGGCTCGCGGCTCTATCACGCGAAACTTCGGGACGCGGCCGGGGCGTTTGACCTACTAACTCTCGTTTTGTTTAACTTATTCATCGTCCGATCGCGAAGCTCTCTGTACGTCTGTACGCGCCACGCGGACGGAGGCTCGTAAAAAGACTGCGGAGCCTCGCGGAGTACGCCGATGGCGAATGGCGATGTGGCGATGTAACGACGCCGCGGTCGTTACGTATTAATAGCGATTCGTCGGGATCTTAAACTATAATCTCGTAGGGTCAAACTCCGAAATGGACTTTCGCCGCTCGTGACAACGAAATCGCGACGATGGATCTACTTTTATGTATCATATAAAGAAAAGTATTCTCTGAAATCATCTTGGATTCAATCTCTCAACGATTTTGTAACATTTCTGCTGCGAACGGAAGGACGATTCGTTGCGTAAAAATGATTCACGCAACTCGCAGAAGCGGAAATGTCTCTCGCGACTTGTCCGCGATACGCGAAGGAAATTATCTCGAAAACAAAGCGGTGTCATCGGGCGACGGCGATGACGATGACGACGACGGAGACCGCGTATCGGGGGGGGACGAGAAAAGTGCGTTGGATAAATAAAAATCGTGCGGTCGACGTATACGCATGTGTACGTATTCCAAATGCACCAAACGCTTTCCTGAAATCTCAAGAGATCGGGCGGAAAGCTTCGTAGCCTGCGCTACGAGCTCGGAAGATCTTTCTGTTTCCGACTCTATAACTCTCTCTCTTCCCCCCTCTCTCTCTTTCTCTCTTTCTTTCGCTCCGCACGTTTGTCCTCTCTGCCCTTCCCCCTCTACCCTCGCCGTTGCCGCTCGTTCGGCCGTCTCTCTCTCTGTCGCGCGCCCGCTCGTCCTCGACCCGTCTCTTTTCATCTCCTCCAGCACGGCAAAACGGGATTCTTTCCTTCTCCGATCCGCCGTTCTCCGTACAGCGTACACCCGTGAGCGTTGGTAGGATCGCCTGGCGTCCGTGAGGGTCTCGCTGCGGCGTTGCCGCGTCGCGCGAGCGCGGACGGCCGATGCGCGACGTTGCCACGTCAGCTCGGCGCGGAGCGGATCGGCGTGGCGCGGCGCGGAGCGTCGCGTCGCGTCGCGCCGTCCCGCTTCCGCGCGCGCGCTCGCTCGGTCTCGCTCGGACTTTCTTCCCTCCGCGGCGGCCCGGATCAACCGTACGCCTCTCTCTCCCCCGCCCGCCCCGGCGGCCAACATCCCCACCGCGCGGCAAAGCATTCACCGCGCCGCTCCGCGCAGCGCCGCGCCGAGCGCCTCCGCCTGCCCGCGAGGCAGCCAGCCTGCTTGCTTGCCTGCCTGCTTGCTTGCTTGGCTCTCGACGACAATGCCGTACGCGGCGACTCTACGTGCCCGCGCCCCGGTCGACGCCGAAAATTCATGAGGCTGCGCCTATCGATGTTCCTTCCCCTCGTCCCCTCTCCTCCAAATCTCCATTGGATTCCATTTGATTTACGTCGGAATATTGTGTTGCATAATTCCCGTCGAAATTCAAGTGCGCCCAAGGCAAATGCCTCGTATGAATGTTGAAATAATGTACGGTATAGTATACGGTACATTTCATCTATCTAGCCGTCTAATTGACAAAGTTTAAGCTGTCGAGAGGTTCTCATATATGCTTAAAAAATAGAGGGCTCATTAGAGGCTTATCAAAACGTCGATCATATTTTACGTACAAATATTTATTGGTAAATGTAGGACAAGTCGTAAAACAGGAGCTTCGTGTAAATTGTAAAACTAAAACTTTACTGTAGTGTCGTTTTAATTTTGTCACGAGGCAAACGCAACCGAGTTTGTCGCGTCTGTGAAAGAGAAACAGCGGAGACGGAGCAGAGTCTCGGCTGTAACGAACATGTCGCTTTCTCGGCGTATTATTCGCTCGGATCGTCTGTTCCGCGATTGTTAGACGTGTCTGGCGACTGGCGACCGATAAAATTCGCGATACACCAGCCAATGATTCTCCTTTTGAGCGCAAAACGCGTCGCCATGCCGTACATGGACAACGGCCGCATGAAAATTGAATAAAACGGACGACTCACAATCAGTCTATCTATCT